TCCACTCCTTGACATGCCATACTTTAAGGTAAACTGAAGTTGAAATTTTCTATTGTATTATATCAATTAAGCCAACAGATTATGCTCGAAAGGCAGTCAGAATAAGTGTGTAGAAGCTGACAGTGTGTGCATACAAATTAAAAACTGAATATTCAGAACATCTTTGCAACAGATGAAAAATTATCTTTCAAGTATTAGTTTTATTTATTAAATGGAATAAAGTTAACCCGATGGAGAAAATAAACTCTGTGAGTGAACCATTTAACTGAACGTTATTGAGTGAAACATGTTGATCAGTTAATAAACAGTGTGTATAATCATTCAATTTGGACAAAATAGATACAGTATGAAACCACATAAGCGGAAAATCAATCAACTGTGGTCAAAGTGTAGTATTTATGACTCGAATCTATCAACATTGTTGATGAAATGTAATGTTTTGCAATAATTTTCACACATGGAATGTTATTTAACTGGAGACATTGTTGGAATTCCAAATGATTGAGGTGTAGGATTCAACAAAATGGTTAATTGTTTACCGAAAAACAATAAAGCGCCAGTAATTCAGGATACCTTTTACAATTTACACGTAAATAAACGGACAATACAATGTATTGTAATTCACTTTGTCTTAAGTATATTTACTGTTGACCTTTCTCGATATATTCTATTCATCGTAACATAAACATATTTCTTACCAACCAAAACTGTTCAAAATCATTATTTCGTGGTTTCAATCAAATATGCTGATGTTACTTTGAATTGATTAAATACTGGTTGGAATAAACAAGATCAATAGTTGATTATTCAATCGTTTAATCAAATTCGTGCCACCGTCTAATGATAAAAATCGATCAACCATACTGAGATTAATAGCTGTTAATCAATTAACTTTTCGGTTCGAATCGATGTATTAATGTCATTTCTGTCCATTACATTTCTCAAATAATATTAGTTAGAGAAGTATCAGTCTTCATACAATGAAGTACACTGACTACGAAGGATTATTCTTATTTATCGAGATGTCGCGAGTACTGTAGTGTATGCTACATATGTCTTTCAAACATATTGTATGTAGCACCAATCATAAGAGGAATGATTGACAACCGAAGGCTAAGAGGATCGAGTTGAAGAAAACAGGAAGTCAGGTAGAAGAGAATTGTGAAGTGGAAGAATCATACAGAATATGAAGAACTATTAGAGGTTTGCAAATGGGGCATTTAAATACAATATCTCCACTCAAGTTTCGTTCATTACAGTAATTAGCTTAAAGAATATATGACTTACAGATGATCAGACTATTTAACTTTATCTGGCATTCATGGATATGAAACAGGTTGATGTTGAATTTAGGTACGTGGACGTTTCCACTCCTTCTACAGTTTCTCTACCGAGTATGATTGGGTTGGTGTTCGTTGTGTTATATTTGAGGATCTTGGTTTTTTCCTTATGTATGTTGAGGCCTACTGAAGTAAAGACTACTGCCACATTGTTTGTTTGGACTTGCATTTTTGTTGTGTATAGGATAAAAGGGCTAAGTCATCTGTGAATTCCAAATCGTCTAGTTGCATTCATATTGTTCATTGTAAGCTGTGGTTTTCCTTAGAAATTTAGGTTTTCATTATCGAGTTAACCACAAGTAAAAAGGGAAAGGGCGAGGCAAAGTAGCCGTGTCTGACAGCTGTTTTCACCTGGAATGCATCTGTCAGATATTCTCCACGTACAACATTATAGTGTAGTACGTCTCATTAGAATCTAGGGTTTTGACAGATTTCTATGCAATAATCATATTAGAATTTCACTTGACTTCATAAACTGGAGATTGTGTCAACAATGAACATAAGTACAGTTGTGTAGATAATCCTATGGTGTTTATAAATGGGTTTCGATAAAACAACTGAGTTCAGTGAAAGATACAAAATAACTCTTTTTACATCAAAAGCTAACAGAAAATATCTATCAATCCAATCCTTCTATTTACACTCTCATTGATAGTTTATAAGTGGTCTTGTCTGATTCACTTTATCTCAAGAATACTTATATGATAGAATTCATATTTATCATGGCTTTATAGAATTATTCGTGAATGATGTTTATTTATCTACATCCGATTTCAGACAAACCCATTGCAATAACTATTGCTGGTTGGAATGATTTAAAGAACATAAATGCTATTACTTTATAGAAGTATGTAGAAATTTCATGATGACACTCCATGATAGTGCAATATCATGCATCATTAATATCACACAGATTATCAGGCTGAAACGCAGTGGCAATGACTTCTCTGTTGGAACGTTTGGAGCCAAAAGTTGAAAAAAGTCTGCAAATTATAGATTAAATACAATCTTTAGTAATGAACATCTATCTTATTATTAATAATAAGCTACGGATTTGTGTTAATTGGCTAACTACTACTGTACTGTACAAAACAAACAGTAATTTGATTAGTACTCTTTATTCCGAAGATTTCTAATTCACAGAAACGACTTGAAAAAGCTGGTACAGTTTGTTTCAAAAGGTGAATCAGTCTATCTTATCTAGGCCAAGAAATAGAATCTGTGTTTACTTTGAATAAACTGTTACTGTCACTTCTGTAATACGTTCTCTGTGCTTAATCTGTTCACTTCACTTCACTTCAGTTCAGTTCAGTTCAGTTCGACTCTTGTGTGTATTGTTTTATGCTACTCATTAATATTGAGTAAACAAAAGTATTCCTCCTAGCAATTTCTACGCTTATTTTGTAATGCAAGTTCGTCGTGTAATATTCTGAAATGTTTACAAATTCTTATAACATTTATCATTAACACTTATCATTATAGTTACTTGATATCAATCATTGTATCAGTTGTTCGGAATTTCGTGCATTCGGTTAACCCTTGTCTGAATGCAACAGTTTCCATATTGTTTGGTGTTAGTGCGATTTCTGCTTGTTAATACACCGTGATGAAGTTTTTACACAGCGAGCGGCTGTCACTCTCGCACTATCGAAGCCTTTTTATTTCAAAATAAAGGAAGTGGTAATCGCCTCAGACACCTGACGAGTTGAGGTGTGTAACTAGTGTTTGTAGATCACTTAATAAAGAACCGCGATTTCTGACAAATCGTTGTTTTGTGAACTTCGATTGAGTGATTTGCATGCTTCAGTACACTTAACATTTACTTTCTTTTTTACCGTAAGCTACGAGTGACAATAGATGGGTGTTGTATGCGTCGATATTTTCTTACTGTTTGGATGAATCAAGTGCTTTCGAAATTGTATGTAACCAGGTTTTATATTGCTATCACAATAAGAAAATTTATGAAGTGAATCTTGTGTTACGACTTGATTAGGTATTTAACAGATCAATCTAGTCGTTGAGTGACTATGATGATTAGGAGTGATTGAATTATATTACGAACTAAGAATCCCAGAAATAACACAATTCAATCAAGAAGTACTACACAAGCACTAACGAATGTACTGTATTTAGAATTTGAAATCAGGCATTCAACAAGTACAAAGGAATCATTAGTTCATTCAAACAACACATCCGCCACAGCTTAAATTGGAGTCCAGATGTCTGTAATTGATTGCACGTCTTCTTCTTAAGTTCATCCTTTGTCTGTCCGACGGTGTATTGGATAAAGTCTCTGTATTATTTACTTCCTGGGATTGTGTACAATCATCATGTCGGTTGAGTACTGAAACCACTGCTACCTAGAATTTCGACCATAGACATTCAGACTATCCTCCCCCGCGAAATAATGTCAGATCTTCGTATCCCTAAGTTATGAATAATATGGCTTCATTTAAAACATCTTTCTCACATTGACTAGAGTATACATTGGAAGTGGATTTATGATAAGGATAAACAACAGTTGATATAAAATCATCTGAATTGTAATCAGAATCGAGTTCATTTAATGCTCGTTCTTCGCACTGAACAAGCTTCCCACACGAAACAAATGCATTATGAAGACAAATAATATTTGATATGACATCATCAAGATTTGATCCTTCTGAAATAGTTTCTTCAAATTTATTAAGAATGTCATTGCAGAATAAAGGATGATTAGAAAAATCATCATCTATCAAAACTACATCAGGTTTTCGATCATGATTAGGTTTACCCGAAAAATTTTCCTCAGATTTGTAAGAAATTTCATCAGAAATATGTGAATCATTAGGAAAAATCATATCTGGTACAATAACATGAGAAATCTGATAAGTTGATTGATTAGAAATTGTTGTCTCGCAAGGATTCTGAGTTTCATTTAACTCTGAACTGCTATATGACTCTAAACTGTCTTTTGAAATCATTGATAATGATAAATGATCATTATAAATATTCAACTTAATAGAATCAGAATTACAAGACTTAATATTAGTTGCAGCAAGATGAACAGTAGTATCACAAACTGACTGAATATGCCCAACATCACATTTAAAGCATTAGAACTACGAAATTTACATGAATAAAAAAAGTGGAACCTGCTACAGCACAATCATTGACCAAACTTGTGCCCATCTTCGTGAACTGCATCGCAACTCCTCAATGAATTATCTGCACAACCTTGAGTATGCACTGGGATGAGGTGACGTAATGTAGTGGAATTTTTTATATCCTCATGAATCATTTTAAGAAATCCTCCTCCTTTAACTCATTCGGAATTTGTATACTTAACATAGTCCAGCAGTAGTTCCTTGTGAGTTGTATAAGGAAGCGAAATGAGCTTTTCCGGTAAAGCCAGAATTTTTATTAAGCTATATGCTTCTTTCCCGATGAATGTGAGGAAATGGGCTACAATATTAACATCCTCATCATTTTCCTTGGTCGTAGCCCAAATTTCGAACCTTTCAAAGCAATCCTCATAAGCATCAAAATCTAAATGTATATCCAACAATTCCATCACAGACCCTGCTCCTGACGCCAATATGATGAATAGGAGTAATTGAATTATATTACGAACTAAGAATCCCAGAAATAACACAATTCAATCAAGAAGTACTACACAAGCACTAACGAATGTACTGTATTTAGAATTCGAAATCAGGCATTCAACAAGTACAAAGGAATCATTAATTCATTCAAATACCACAGTAACACATATCAAAATGCATTTTTTTGAACAACGGTAAATATAAACTTTTACATTTTTTATAGAAAATACGTGACTATTTTGTGATTACATCTACAGAAGTTCACATAACTTATTGAGAATTTGATGAATAGGAAAATCTGAAAGATGTCGAGTGTATGGAATAGGATTAGGGTATTGGAAAAGAAAACTGGTTTTGATAAGCGAAACATCTTAATTTGATAGTATTTGAAATCTTTTCAATATGTTCAACTGTATGTCATAATCACTTGAACGTGAATGTAATGATAATTAGTGGAAATTTGAGAACATTGAACGTCAGCATAATCACAGTTGCTTATATATATTCAGTTATAAATGTAAATAGTGATAATTCAATGAAAAAAACGATTAATGAGTTATTGCTTTGATGCAGTGCATGCAGTTTATTGTAGTCTAGTTTTATTGCATTAATGATTCATATTTTATCAAGTAATATTTCTTTGGTTTACTCAAAATATAAAGAAAGATGTGAAAATATAATCAAACAGTTCACAATGAACAATATTGATAAAGATTTGTAATAAGTTAGTAAATGAGTTTAATTATTGTTGTGTGAATGCTTATCTTGAATTGTGTTTGGTATGATGGTTATTTGCATAAGTTCAATATTTGTGTTGATCAACGTACATGTTGCATAGACAAACATTAAATTAGTATTATTTTCATACATTTTATAATACAATTGTTCTGGTATAAAACGAGTTCTCACTCCATTTGGATAATGAATCGACATTGGAACAAAAATCTCTGCAACTAACAATGCTGCATCCACATTTGTACAATACTTCTGTGTTGGTACAAAAGCATAGTAAAACACACCTGAATCAACATCGAATCTCAGCTGGACAGGTCGACCGGCAGTTGATTGTGGATATGTACGACTGAATGATTTCAACTGTATGAGATAGAAGAAATAATGAAATGAAACAATCTACTGCATTAATGTGGAATACATATGCAAGTTATTCAATCTGAAGACAGTGTAAACCATGACTTGATAGCTTGACAAGCAAAGGAGGTAAGGAAGCTTTGGAGAGATGTACTAGGATGAAATAGTTATTGAAATATTTCTAAACGAACCATGACAAATTGATTTCTTATCGTATCTGACATACACGAATGATCAAACACTAATGATTAGTTAGTTACCTGATTACAGTATGAAGCAAAATGACTCATCGCAAATTAATATCACCACAGAAATGGAGTCAGCTGTTGATGTTTTTCGACCAGATATTTTTGCTCATAAGCTTACTTTAGAACTCTATCATAAATGACACTGAAAATAAACGATCAGAAGCGAAGTGAATTCTTCAAATCATCACTTGTTGATTTACTGCTGTTTGGTCATTAGACTGTCATTAATGATGACAAACTTTGTCGAATTGTTTTCAAGAAATGGGTTGTCGTAACGTGATGATGACAACATTTTCACCAAGCACAGCAGATGATCATGTTATGCTGGCAGTTAACTAAAGTTTGATAATGCCTAATACTGGAGTTTTCCAAAGTTATCGCAAGCCGAACATGAGATTCAAGCAGAAAGTAGATGATGAGGACTGGAAGAGTGATTTCAGAATATGTTCCTTAAAAAATAATTGTTTGCATAGCGGAGTGAGTTGTCTGTGGATAAGATAACATAAACGCTTAATTTTATGACCAATATACAGCGTATCTGGACTGACCATTCATTGTCATGTTAACGTTTTTATCAACCATACATCACTGAATTTATTAGCAGTTTTGTTTTGTGTGTGTTGTGTAAGCTCTAATAGACATTCCCTAAATCCAAAGCATAAACATAAAACATTTTATTTGGTGAAGTGTTCCTCTCTGATTTTATCTGGGTTTCCCCACCTGACTTCTCGATCACTAGACTTGGTATCGTTGCCAAAGAGAAGGCGGAAAGTGTGCAGTTCTGTGGATAGGGTTGCGAGGCCGAGAAAGAAGTGATTAGTGTGTGCGGTTCGGCCTACGAAGGAGATCCAAAGTGGAGTATTTCAGTCGCTGATGATGGCGAAAACGAATGGGAACAGAACAAAATGACTCTAGTATAAAATTGACATAAATCCGAAAAATGTGTTTATCAATAATATGACCTACGGAAATGTTGTTCACAATTAAGTTAGGAAATAATTCATTTCCGTCCCAATAGGTCCAGGATTCGAAGTTACGGTCAGCTGCATTCATCACTGCGTTACATTCAACTGTATTTATTGAATGTGGATTACCATCAGGAAGACACAGACCGAATTCTGTTAAAAAGCGTCCGCCACCAGTGAATTTAACTATACTTTTCACATTATTGAATGCATGATTCAAGAGCAGCTACACACAACCAATAACAATATTAACATTGATTAAGTATGAGAATGATTAATGTAATGAAACTAGACTACAATAAACTGCATACACTGCATCAAAGCAATAACACATTAATCATTTTGTTCATTGACTTACAACTGATTATATTTATGACTGAGTCATAACAGATTGCGAAACAGCAGACGTTCAATGTTCTCCGATTTCCGATGGTTCTCATTAAAATTTACGTTGACGAATTTTTACATGACCGAGTGAGGAGGAAATGCATGAAAATTGCGCAATCTCGAATGATGTGGTTTGATTACAATGTGGCTGGTAAGGAATGCAGATGATACTACAAATCATCATAAAACCAGTCGTTTGTTAACAATTCATATCACTCCTAATTGTCAATTCATTACGGTGGAAATGAACTGGTACCAGAAAGTGACATCTCGTCAGCAAATGACCATTATGTTTGTCTAGCTAAATATCACATTTACCAAACATTCTACATAAGCCGCCTGCCTATATGATTAACCATATAAGTTTATTGGAAATTTTCAATCGTGAGTATCATAAATGACAGAATGAATCACAGGATGGCGTCAGAATTCACGTATTGATTGAATCCACTCAAACCACTTTCTCACATTAGTATGTTTGATGGAAATGAAATAATTAAAGTTTATCTGTGTGTAATGAGGAATTCTACAAATAGTCGTTATTTGTTCATAGTTCATACAAACAACAACACGGATTCAGCATCACCCACTCCTTTCGTGTTACTGTTATTCACAACTATGTTAAAGGAAATCGAGATAAATCCCCTTCTGTTCATGCACAAAACATTCCACTAATGTTCCATTTTGCTAAAACCGTTAAAGCTATACAATCCATCCAAACTTACCAATTCAGCAATCACCACAAATATATGAAGAATGAGATTAGTTATGAAATTCCACACAGTATGAATGACGGTTTGAATACACTGATTATTAGTGTATTCATGAAATTACATCATGTCAGTTCATTCAATCATCAATCATTTATTTTATAAATTGATTAGCACCTATTAGTATGAATTACAGTTTTCATGTCAAATCATAGTGTTTAGTATTTTCGTTCCTAGATTACTCTACAGTACTGTAATTAATTTCAGTTTGTTTTGTGGTGTTTTGTTCACCCCAATCAGTTCATCATTTATTAAGGACACATTAAACATTTATCCATATCAGTTGTAACTATCATTTGTGTTTTTTGAAATGAAATATTCACTGTTTTGTCTGACATCATACATGTTGTATGTGCAGAGGGCAAATCGGAGCTCCAACTAAGCACAATAATTTGTTTGTCAATTTTGTTTGTAACAATCAATGTCTTACAAGTTGGTGCAAATAACAGAACGGAATTGTACTTCCCTTTGTATTTATCGATGCAATAATCATATCAGAATTTCACTTGATTTCATAAAGTGGAGATCGTGTCGACAACCCTAACACTAACACAATATACATATTAATCCAATGCTTCTGTTTTCACTTTCACGTTTAGTTTATTAGTGGTTTTGGCTAATTCACTTTATCTCATGAATACAATGATGACAGAATTCCTACTTATCATGGCTTTATAGAATTATTCGTCAATGTTATTTATTCATCTACGCCCAATTTCAGACACACCCATTGCTATGTCTTTTATTAGTCAGCATGATTCATAAACCATGAATGATATTACTACTTTATAGAAAGAATGTAAAAATCTCTCATCTTATTTAACTTGTTTTAATCAATTACAATGTACACCATGGTTCTAACAATTTTGCAAACTTATTCATCATCATATTGTTTACTGAGAGTATTTCCATGGTGAAAATAAATGAATTGGTGATTGGTAATTGATAAATATGAGCTAGTTTATGGATGTTTTCACATCACTTCTGAGTAAATAAATTCTGAAATACATGAGTGTTTTGGTGTTGTTTTCATTATCGTTATTATTTTGATTATTATTATTACTATTATCATTGCTATTTTCGGTATCCAATGTAAACACTGTGAACGGTTTGGTTTTCACAGAGGATCAGCAACAGTGAATGTATTACGTAAAACCAGAAATCGTTAAAGCATCTTTTGTCGTACAACGGAACACCTCAGGAGTAATCACCTACAATGATGACAGATGTTGGAGCACAAACATCCAAACCTGAAGGTAAGAAATAAAAGTGTAGACCTCTAAGATCAAATGCAACTCATCAACTATCACTGTTAAGTCGATTCACCATGGAGCTGATTGGTTTTGCAATGTCATAGATGATAAATATTTCATCGTTGATATGGCTGAATCCCGCTGATAACAACGTCTCATTCCGATCTAATGAAATTTCTTAGAGTGATACGTGGTTTCGGAAACAAATGTGAGCTACAAGTACTTGTCTGAGTTCACTCAAACTTATTTTCCTAGTCAACATTTACATATTTAATGAGCGTGTTGAAAATGTTCAACTATAAAAATGAAACGTGTGACATGATAACTACATACGTCTGCATAGACGAGAGATAATTTGGCTTGGAAATTTCTATCAAGGATCAACAAACAAGAACCAACAGATAACTCTTTTGATAAAACATCGAGTAACTCAATCGCATTAATAAACTATTGAAAAGTGAACAATGTGAAGCACCTCAGAATTGCGACTAAACAAATGTTCGTGGTCTAAGGGATTCGAGTGGTCAATCAATCATTTTAATATCATGATCGAAATCAGTTGAAATATTTAGAAACGCTTATATCTATCTAATCATAAGATAATCAAGAGTAGAATCTCAGCAGATTTAATGTTTCACTAATTATAATATTTTGATGTGAGGTATCAATTACTGAAGCTAAAGCCTACTTTCACATGGTTGGTGTTTGCAAAAACTTACTTAATAGAATATCGAAGATTCTGTGTTGCTTGACTCACATCCAATAAATAATGGCATTCTTACTATATGAAATTTGGTGAGATAAATAAATTTTAGGCTTGACATAACGTAAGGAATTCATCTGACTGAAGCTAAAGTGTCAGCTATCGAATGCTAAACTGCTGATCTGCGAACTCACTCGCTAAGAAATAATAAAGCTTTAGATTTGAGTTCTGTTAGGGTTGTAAGTGTAGTAGGCACTCAGTCAGTCAGTCAGTCAGTCAGTCAGTCAGTCAGTCAGTCAGTCAGTCAGTCAGTCAGTCAGTCAGTCAGTCAGTCAGTCAGTCAGTCAGTCAGTCAGTCAGTCAGTCAGTCAGTCAGTCAGTCAGTCAGTCAGTCAGTCAGTCAGTCAGTCAGTCAGTCAGTCAGTCAGTCAGTCAGTCAGTCAGTCAGTCAGTCAGCTGCAACGTAGGACCAGGCTTGCATATGCATCGGTCCAAGTTGCCATACCGCATTAGCACAACAAGATGAACACCGGATTCATAGAAGTAGTTAATTCAGTGGTGGTAATATATAGAAGAAAGATTGCACGTAAGGAGATAGTACAGGAAGAAAGACTTATTTCCTAGAAAGAAAGATTCGAAGTGATTTTAATCTCTTAGTTTAAAGGAAGACAGAGAGTGTATACACCGACGCCATTGTGATCGATTCTGAGCCATGTCACACAGAGTCTCCAACCATTGGTTACGATAGTCACGCGGACCCCAACCAGGCAGTCTGCATCTACCAACATGGCTCAGACCAGAAGTTAGTGACTTCAAGCACTGATGCCACGTTTTGGTTTGGCCACCCCTAACTTTCTTCCAATCATCCCTAACACCGGTTAGCATTGTGCGCCGTGGTAATCGGTGTTTAGGCATACGCAGCACGTGGCCCAACCATCTCAGTCGATGAAGATTCATAACCTCATCAACTGATTTACCATCATTCCCTAATACCCTGCGTCTAACCTAACTATTACTTACCCGGTGATCCCAGCAGATACCCGAAATATTTCTAAGGCATCTGTGGTCAAATACTAGTAACTTACGAATATCTTCTACTCTTAAAGGCCATGTTTCGCAGCCGTATAGTAGAACGGAACGAACTACCGCGCAGTATACTCGTCCCTTAATTGATAGACGGATATCTCGCCTTCGCCATAGATGACGTAAGTTGGCAAAGGCCAAACGAGCTTTTCGAATCCATGCTGAGATTTTGTCAGACACCAACCCATTAGGGCTGATCAGACTTCCAAGATAAGTGAAGTTGTCAACGCGTTCGACTACTAGCCCCCAAATGCCCTGGTATGGCCGAGAGTGGGGGGAGTCCGCTCCTCCTCTCGAAATGCTCTCACATGGCCACGCGTATACAGCCCCTGCCAGGGAAGTCCTACTCACTGCATTCTCGTGGAGGGGCTGTTGTTTACGAAAATGAGAGGACGAAAAGCGAATGTCCGGCGCTATAACCGGACCCTAAACCAATGGTGCACATGGGCTCCAGTATCCTGAAGGAACAAATGGCGTATGAACCAATCATTGGTCACCGGCTACCATGGGACTGCATCTCCTCACGATGCTCCACTGCCTTGTGGATCAGATCTTCAGGTCAAAGGCTCGGGGTGTGGCCCCTAAGAAAACCACCTGCTTCGAATTGGGCACCCGGGCAGTATCACGGCCCTCACACATATCAAATGAGATCTGTGTGGCGCATATGTATTTGGTGCTTTCTTGTACCGATATCTATGTGTTAAAATAAAAATAATAAAAATAAACTTCACCCCCTACTCTTAGTTCAGGTGTTGACGCGGATCAGTCCTGAAGCAACAACTTGCATTTAGAGGGAGAGAAGCGCACCTCAAACTTTCTGGCATTGTTACTCAGTGCTACCAAAAGACTCTGCATTTCATCAGCGTCTTCACCAAACAGGACTATGTCATCTGCGTATTCTAAGTCAATAAGTGGACCTCCTGGTACGAGATCAATACCTGAGAATTCAGTCGATGAGAGCGTTATTTCCATCAGGAGGTCTATGATGAAGTTAAACAAAAATGGAGAAAGTGGACAGCCTTGGCGGTCACCACTTGAGGTTGCGAAAGCAGATGACAGTTCGCCATAAGCTCTCACTTGACTAGTAGTGTTCGAGTAAAGATCCTTCACAAGGTTTATGTACTTCTGAGGTACGCCTTTCAATGACAGACACTGCCACAGAACCTCTCGGTCAACAGAGTCAAACGCTGCTTTTAAGTCAAGGAAGACCACCATTGTCGGACGCCGATAAGTATGCCTGTGTTCTAGAACCTGACGAATGGTGAATATGTGGTCGATGCAGCCACGACCAGGTCTGAAGCCAGCCTGATTTTCACGTGTTTGCAGCTCACGAGTCTTAGTTAGGCGTCCGAAAATTATCGAAGCTAGTATTTTAGATATTATATTAGTTAAACTAATCCCTCTGTGGTTGTCACAGGCTGATTTTGACCCTTTCTTAAATATTGGGACGATAAGTGATTGTGACTAGTTAGATGGGATGACGTCTAACTCCCAGATTTTAGCTAAAATATTAGTCAACCTAATCGCTAAAACTAGACCACCATCCTTAAAGACCTCTGGAGCCAATCCATCTGGACCAGCTGCCCTTCCTCGTTTCAGATTAGCTATAGCCTTTTGAACTTCAGCTAGATTTGGGGGACCTACTTCAATGTTCCATTCATACTGTCTGGGAATAGAGGGTAGTTGTAGAGTAGCTGGAGGCCAACTGAACTACTCCTTAAAATGTTTTGCCCATCGTTCTAAACGTCTGGACTGGGAGCAGATGAGAGTGTCGTCTTTTTCCGAAATGGTCTGACTTACACTTGATTTAATAATTTCAGTTTCTTTTATTAGTCTGTAGAGTTGTCTTGTGTTCCCTATAGCCGCCGCCTTTTCCATCTCTTTTGCTTTCGTTGCCCACCACTTCTCACGATCGTTCCTTAGACTTTTGCTTAACCTAGATCTGATTTGTTTACGCTCTTCATCGTGTTCAGAATCTGATGGGATGAGTTTACGAGAATCTATCAGTGCAATAGACCTTGAAGAAATCCATTGGTTCTTTGTAACCCTGTGGTTTAAATCACTTGTAGATGTCACTTCTGTTTCCACAGCCGCTTGTATGTCTTTCCAATCAACATCGGGGTCAGCCTCGTTTTCAGAACTACCTAAGTGTGACCTCAGTTGTTCTTGGAACCTACGTTTGGTTTTCTCGTTAATCAGTTCAGTTCTAATGGGTCTTTTTAATGTGGCTTTTTTGCGTCCAGTGAGGCGCAAGCAGATGCGTGCTCGTATTAGGGCATGGTCGGGGTCCAAGCAGGTACTCCAGAATGAGCGACAATCTTCTATTGACCCTCTGAAACGATGACTGATGGCAATATGGTCTATTTGAGTCCATCGTTGGTTTGGTGCAGGGGGTCGCCATGTTAGACGGTGTCTCTCCTTATGCTTAAAATTAGTGTTTGCTAAAAATAAACGATTGTCTGAGCACTGTTGCAGCAGACGATCACCATTATCTGTTCTCTGTGCCGGAATACTAAAATACCCACCTAAATGTCTTTCTGTTTCGTTTAAGCTACCTACCTGGGCATTAAAGTCGCCTGCTACGAGTAATATGTCTGAACGTTTAGCTTTCTGAAGAAGTTCAGACAGCTTTCTGTAAAATTCATCTTTCACTTCATCCGAACTGCAGTCAGTGGGAGCGTAGGCAGAAACGACGTGTGTCCCTATCCTTTCGGGTTCTTACCGAGCCGTTTAGCCGAACAGCGCATAGACGACTATTAACGGGGATCCACTCTAATAGCGCTTGTTCCGCCCTCATGCTTAGTGCTATGCCTACACCTGCAAGTCCACGAGAACTAGCCATCGGGTCGCCAGATACACGGAGGGTGTTTCTCGTCGGCACTCCGTTTTGCCGAGGTGAGGTCAAGTGAATGACCACACTAGGATCCTGTATGCGTGTTTCGGAGACACAGCATACATCAATCGTACGAGATTCTAAGGTTTTAGCCAAGGAAGCCTCCTGACCGATTTGGCATAGTGTGCGTACGTTGTAGGCTCCAATGTGTAGTTTGGAGCGAGGTTTCAGTGGACCTGGGACAGTGTTTTGCGCGCTAGAATCGTTGGCTGTGGTGACACTTGAGGAGGAAGCTAAAAGAGGAGTTTAGATTTGAAAGTCGATGTAAGAGGAATAATAGGAGTTGAAGAGGTAGGTTGATTATGAATACAGTGGTCTTGAGTGCTGTTAGAGGTATGAGGGCGGTTATCACTTCCCGGTTGCCCACACCGTGGAAGGGTTCTGCTGGAGGTACCTGAAAAGGAAATTGGATTAGAGGTGGTCATAGTGACCTGAGAGCGTGACCGCAGTGCCCAAGGGACAGCTGCTTGAGGTCGGTCACACACGACCTTTTCATGAGTAATTTTTGTGTTAGCTCCGTACTTGTTGAGACCTTACCGCCGGAGACGGATATCCGTGGGATAAGGCGAGGTGTGCATTTTTTGGGTCGACCTTTTCTAACCCCTCCCCTCCTTTTGGGAAGGCAGCATCGCTGTTATGCTGGTTGTCTGAAGGAAACACCTTACTGCTGTCACACCTCTGTACAGTCAGCAGTACGACTTCGCCTTCGGACCTTGGTTTTGTTGCTTTTAGTCTTACCGCTCTTCAACCGACCTGTCTGGCATGGTAGGACCTTGAGGAACGGTTGTTCCAGCCAGTATAGCTCAGTTGCTTCATCACGATAGGCAAGCCCGACCACCACGTCAAGGTAACAACAACGGTCAGGTAAGCACTCACTACAGAGTAATGAATAATTGTGTGGTTAACGTGAGGACATGGTGTAAAATGTAAATAATATTTCATTCTGAAAAAAATACTTTCAGTCAGCAATCCATAGACGTTTAACTTAATTCAATGTAGTCGTTCTGAATATAGATGCAATCATTTATTTATTTAGAAAATGTTAATAGGGGTGACGAAAGATTTCAAAATTTTGCAGCCAACTTTGACAATCATGTTACGAATAAAATGAAAGCCAGTTAGCATATGCTAAAAAATATCAGTTGGTTAATGTTGATATTAAAGCATCGAGTGATTGGAATGAGTGCACATGTGTTACAAACAATAAACCAGGTAAAGAAAACTCTCACTTGATCACACAAATATCGTTTCCATGATGGCATATCCTGTGTAGATGGTGTCGATTCCAATAGCCAACAGTAGTAATGATAAGATAATACACTCTTCTTTCTGGCCATCTCATCCTGTAATAGACCAGGAACACGTTGGATGCCAGTACCGGGTATTCCATTGACAAATGGAAAATATATTCCATAAGTTACACTCTCGTAAAATATCAATGTATTCTTGTCTGTTTGGCGAATAACATTCACCAAATAATCATAAAATGGTAAGAGATTTTGACCTGCATTATCTGTCCGAATACGAAAAGTAAGAGATCGGAAATGTAAGAATCGAAATGGAATTCGAGAATGAAAATAATTGACATTTCACAACAATGATATTCAATGTCGCGATGCATGAGTTAAGCAGTCTATTTTCTACTGAAATAAGCATATCTGTTATGAACAGACTGTTTTCGGAAAGATAGATTGTGGTGGTTATTGGCATTCACGAAACTCTTTTCATTTTATTAGGGACTTATTAGATGGGTCATCTTACATCTAAGTGTTTGTGTTTATTTACATTCAGTTGGAAATATCAATAACAGGAGAACCCAATTCTCTTCTAATAATTACAAAATGTTCATCATTTGTAAGTCAACTTCTATAATCTAACGATGTGAACAAATCAATCACCTAAGAAGACATCATGCATAGTGTGCGTTAATGAGTAACTTGATTAATTTTGGCGAATCTTATCTCGATGTCCGTTTTGTTGATTATATTGACAGTGGAAAACAGACAGACAGAATGAGTGATAATAGTGATGTTGAAGATGGCGAATTCCGAAATCACACTGACTGAAATTATAAACACGTAAAATAGTTCTACATAACACCCTTTTTATTCTTACTATGATTGTCATTATGACCAATATTACCATCATTTTGTGCTCATTTATGTATGTGTTCTAAATTATCAACAACAAAACACTGAATAGCCAAAAGCAATAAACAAATCGTGTTGTTCGTTGTTAGTTCACCTGCTGATGTTAATTGTCATAATGATGATATGAATTCTCTACTTGTAATCTACCTTCTAATATTCAGATATATGTTACTCAATATTGCAATTACTATATGTTGTTTCTGGATGAATCATGATGAAACTGATCAGATGTTGGTTTAGTTGCTTTAGTAGATATTTTATTGATAACCATGACTACGGTTGATCACGTGCTTCTAGAACCTGGGAGTACTGAAAAGCCGTTCAGTCTTGAAATATGACTTCTCAGCAGCGAACATTGATGGTCCTGCAAGCAGGAAGCTCACTGTTGAGGAACCACGTTTTATTACGAAATGGCTATTCAGTGCTTTCAGGTTTTCAATAGAAACTCGACAGTTTTCAGAACTCTAAGCTGATAATTTTGTTTGTTAGTGCGACATTGTCACAATGGCATATTCCAACATATGAGGAAAATTTTCACATCTGAGCAATGTCAAGAACAAAAGCGACATGAAGCTGAAGACGAGATGAGGTAAAAGTGATCGTTTTATAGATGTGCATCAATCAGCAAATTCCTATTGAATCTAACATAAATATGTGTTTAAATCGACTTTTCATATGATATAAACGTGATGTTTATCAGATGTGTATGTCATTGATGATCATTTAAACAGTAAACACATTATTTAATGTTAAATTGTGGGGGTTGAGTCAGGTAGAATGAGATGAGCAATGGAATTTCTAGTCATTGAAGTGAAAACGTATTAGATATTTTCATAAGTGAAACATAATATTGATGTCATTTAGACAACGAATCGGAAGTAAATCTATTTCAGTATTAGTAGTGGCAGTAGTATGAGTTAAAGATGTAGTAATAAATATCTATGAATGTTGTGAAAATGATTATTATTATTATTTTTACAGTTGAAATCACGGATCGATCTAAGTTAAACTTTCATTGAAAATTTAGAAGCACTGGACGTCATTTTGTTTTAGTATGGGACGACTCAGCGGTGTGTGTTTACGATCCCATGCGTGAGACTCGAAACCAAGACCTTCAGTCACGCGCGCGAATGCTCTATCAATCATTGAAAAACCAAGTTTCCTACAAATCCAAAAAAAAATTTTCCTGACGTTCTGAGACTTAGTGAAAGCTAAGTCTTCAGAGAATAAATGAATTAGTTGAATAAATCCATGTTTAGATAATGTAAAAGAACAAAGAAAATTGTTTGGCTCGATAAATCCAAGAGCGTGTGTGACCAAGTTAACTGCATGTCAATCCTGTCTAGGTGACTTGTTCGAGACACTTTTGCATATTTATCTGTGTTAATGGATGAAACATGTGACATTTGTTATGTGGAGGATAGGGTTGAATTTATATATATAAATATGATAATAGTATGAAATGTCAGTAGAATGAGACATGCTAGTTCGGACAGATAGTCCAAGTCCGATAGATAGTTAGCCTTTCCTATTGAGGGCCGTAGGATTTAGCGATATGTGGGAAGCATCAGCGACTCGCCTTTCTTTGTAGTTGGAAAAGCCTTTTTCTATTATTTCGTATTATTTTCGAGAGTGGAGGTGATACCTACTGATAATCAAAAATGAAATGATTGCGAGAATTAAAAGGGTGCTTGAACAACCAAATTACTGTCTTTGAAAATTTGGTATTAGGATCATGAAACAATGACAGATTGTTATAACACCCACGGATTTTAAGTTGGTGTCTGTGCAAGTTCCTTGTTGTTAATTACAGAGATGTGACAACATTAAACCGTTTAGTCATAGTTGTTTAGTTACGTGTGGAAATAATTGTCAGAAAATTCACTGTTAAATACGGGTTTAAATGGACTTTTCATATCTGGTTAAGATATTGTAATTCAGAAGCCTCCCTATAAGTTACGTTTTCGGTTCAGATACTATAAAGATAATATTGTAATCGGGAAATAACTCAGTCACAACACCTATTGAGTGAGGTTTCAATGTGTTCTGGATTTGGTTAATAATCCACGATGTTTACTTCGATAAATGAACAAGCGAGATTTGCTTCAAAGAAAAACCAACTGGAAACTGTTAGCTTGGATAGATGTAGAAGTAATGAAAGAGAATTAGTGCAGACATAGTTGGAAAATCGAATGTCATTCTTGAACTGTTGAACTCAGTAGTCTAAAATTTACTGAACTCGGAGGCTACAATAAAGTGCGAGTTGACTTTAATTTCTGTATACATGCTTCGAGTGTTTTGAATGTCGTAATTCTCTAAGCTTCAACAATGCCCAAACCACAATGTGATACTCACATTATTGGTGAGGTCAAAGAGAACGAAGAATGTTTATTCCTAGTGAATATTTCAACTCAGAATACTCTCTTTTAATGCTTCAAGATTACTTTCATGACAAGTAATTATACAGTATCAATTTCACTGACTGACCCAAGTGAGTTAAGTGGTTACTTGGATTTAGTCTAGAGTTCGCCTTTCATTCTAATAATACATGATATCATTTGTTCGAGCTAAGAATGTCATTTGTTTCAGTAATATATGGGCTGAATAATCAAATTCTCTGACAGTGATTGATGAGAATAATACTGAAGGAGAGAAAACTGGACCCATGTGACGAAACCAAATCAATTATTAACTCGAAGTGTTGGCCTGAAAAACGCTTACCCTGAAGTCGAGAAAATCATTTACCTTTTACTTCCAAGACTATCGCAATTGGTTTTCATGGGTATGACAATCGCTGAATTTTTGTTTAATCAATTACACCCAGGTTAAAAATATGTTATCAATAGTTGTTGTTGTAAACAAAAGTTAACCTTTCTAAATAAGGTTTCACTTCTTAGTTTAGCTAAAACTTGGATATTTGACTTGGGTGAGGAATTCATAAAAAACAAAATGTGAGAAGTTAGTAAGTTAGTTCCAAAAAGGAACTATCTCAACAATATGTCTCACAAATAGATTGGATTGAAAATCATCTGATTGATTGAGCTACATTGAGCTATTTTCAAGAAAAGTGAGTAGTGATTTCTGCAGCAGAAAAATTCCAGTCAGTAAAAGTAATATTTATTGAATTGATCTTGAAGTAAGAAAGAAATATGTAAATTATTTGAATGAGACATGACGATGTTGTAATGCAAACTGATTGCAATAGTGATGATACGACATGAAGTAGTTACCACAATACTCTTAGAAATATATTTCTGTATTAGTTGATCGCAAAAACATGTACACTTCTAAAAGTGGAAATATGCACACTGATGTCCGTATTGACGTTATTTATTTTTTAATAGTGATTTAAGATGATAATTTTAGTGGAACGACTGATAAACAGGCAGACAAGTAAAAACCTGGTTGATTTACAAATCAATAAACATCCAACGACTTCACAATCACTTGACTTGAATAAATACGTTGCAAACGAGAAGAAAATTTTCAGTCAAGTGATGGAAAGACTCGAACTAGTGAATAAAGCATTATGATAAAAATGTTCAAAAGAATTAGTACAACTAAAATGTTGCATAATTGTCACTTACTAGGCAAAAGAAGGAATGGATTTATGTAGAAATTTCCAGGTGGCGGTTCATTTATCAAATTATAACCTAGAACGTTATCTTTCCTCCCGAAACGACTGGTTGTTATCCTCCAATATTCTGCAAAATAATTCCATGTTCCTGAGACATTTTTATATATACTTTGAAATACATGTGCACTCTCATATGTGGCGTACGTTAGAAACCAGTTGCTTTTACTTGGATCTTTCGTTAGTGGCCAAGGATATTGGAATAAATATGGTGGTCGCTTTATTTTATCCATAAACCAATTAGGCACAGCATCGATTGCACCTAGACGTTTCGATAATCCATCTTGATGCAAGTCAATGATAATATAAACTCCATATAATGCAGCATTGTCGATAATCTTCTCAATGATATCTAAGTACTCTCGACTGGTTTCATTTTCCTGTGGTTTTAATGCTATCCAATTGAATTCTAAGCGTATAACATTAATTCCCCAATCTCTGAGTACTCTGAATGAATCAGGGTCAAGTAGTTTTGGAAAGTAAAATGGTGCGACTTTATGCACACAGTTGATTCCATGAAATAATTTAATAAATCCTTGTGAATCAACAAAGTAACCAGTATCATCGTCGATGGTGATTTTTGCATGAGCTTCTGAATCAAACAATATTGGTAGTAATATCATTATGCATGACAAACGTAATAGTAAATCAACTTGAACGTTCATAAATTCTCCAAGAAGTTTATGTTGCTTTGAATATTTAGTCGATCTCATTGAAGTGAATAAAAAT